TAGCAAGACACTGGGGAGCTCGAGAGCGGGAGGAGGGGTGGATTTGAGGAGGTCGGAGGGTAGCTGGCAGGTTTCGGATGCGTTTGGGGCTTCCATGGTGGAGCCATGGTTGGCTGCTCATGGAGATCCATCCAGGTATTTTTAAAATTTATTACTGATTTGGTGTTGAATTCTATCTGATTATGCACTGCGGTTTTATGCGTTGGTGGGTTGGTTTCACTTTGATAACATTTATACGAAGATGATTACACGATTAGGGTCAGTATAAAATGTGTTAATTGTAATAACCCTGGGAAGTCGAAACGGGAATATGATGTGGGATTATGAACACGTTGAAGCTGCAACGTCCGAGTCTTGAGTCAATTTTCTTTGCGGATTGAACTTGAATACAACCAGATAGTGTTCTGTTGGAGCTTGCGCAGTTCAAAATCCTTTGAACTTTTCTCCAATTTGACCTCCTGCTAGATCCGGTTTGACCAAAATTTTGCCCAAATTTGTGTTCGTTATTACTTAATTCTTCATGTATCAATTCTGGAAGGAGAAGCTGAGGAAATAGATGTGACAGTATAAACTTCGGCACATAGCTGGTTCAATATGTTCTACTTGGAAAAAGTTTTAGTGTCTCATTGACATTGTAAACTTGGGCTCCTAGTTGGTTCAATAAATTCACAAATTTTTTTTGGTTGCAATAGGAAATCTGACTGTAAAGTTTCACTTTTCCGACAACTAGAGTTGCTATAAGTGGTTTTGGCCGTGATGCCTGTCATACAAATTGCTTGATTAAGCTTAGTTTGTGGATGTGTGTCCCTTCCGTGGTTTGAATGTCTGATTAGTGGCTTGGCATAGAATATCAACATTGCCCCTTGTGCAGTGCTCGGGAAGATGAAGAGAGGAAAGGGTGTTGGATACTTAGATGAGAGATGTTAATCTGATGTAGGGGAAGCGTGAACGAATGAGAAAAATACGAGATACTCTCTCGAATTTGGGATACTCTCCTAAAAAACACGAACAATTTAATTCATTCTCAAATTCAACTGAATAAAACAATAGATGGGGGAGCCCTTTAACTAAGACTCCTAAACATTATTCTTAACTTGTCCAACAAGACAAGATCTCTAATATTTAATTCCTAACTTATTTTCCAAGATAATAATAATAATAATAATAATAATAATAATAATAATAATAATAATAATAATAATAATAATAATAATAATAATAATAATAATAATAATAATACTATTCTGCACCATCT